CTGGCATGGACCCACAAGAGCTTGCACAGATAGGTGTGCCCATAGACAAAGATTTCACAGCACAGCTACACAGATGACAACTAATCTGGCTGCTGCCAGGCTCCACCCATCTGCAAGGCAGCCCTCCTCGGAGAAGGCAGCTGGGTCTGGTGGCCCATTCTTCCCAACTGGTGCATTCAGACCCTCTACTCTTCACCAATTCACCTGGGCATTCACCCATGTCACTGTTTCATTTGCAATGAAGCTCGACAAGGCTGTAGAACATCGAACACAATATCACTTCAACCGCATTTGTACATGGAGCTCCTTACATCGCTCACCTTCGTGGAATGGTGTTTTGTTACAAAGACTGAGGGAAAATTTTTTTAAATATCCTTCAAGTCATCAATTTATTAGGGTATCAGAACCCATGCTTGTAACCCTAAATGTATTGAGTGCATATAAAATACTGACTGCTTCACTGTATGACATTTTATTAAGCGGTACCATCTACCTCAGCAGGGATTGAACATTTATTATAAACTTCAATTCCCCTTCTTCATAAATGAGTAGGAAAAATCTTCACATATGCCGGGACCTTCACTTTTCAGATTAATGTCCCGGAGCTGTATTTCAACTAATTACTGAATAATACTCATAAGTGCTGGCACCAAATGCCTAAAGTTACCAGAATGGGCATAGAAATCTGCAGTTTCCTTAGCATTCCATTCTTTCAAGTCTTACAGATGACAGCCCAACCCATGTAATGCTAGCAAAGGTAACTCTGCAAATCACGAGTTCATTTCAGCTGGTAAGGCACATCCTTTCCTCTGCACAAGTTAGTTTACGTACTGCAACAATAAACTAAACTCATGGCATTTCAACATACTGCACTCTTTGCCAACACATTGTTTACTAGATAATTACAAAACTAATATGTATCTGTAGGACATACAATTCCAGTACATGTTTAAGAATTTATTGTATCACCATTTATAGAAAGCATTTCAATCCAAAATGGTCAGAACTATCTTAAATATCTGGGTAAGAATTCAGAAACATTAGTGAAGATATCCCACAGACTCCAGCTTTCTATGTTTTCAAGTGTAAGTTCGGGTAGACATCCACATTAAAATGAAATGGACAATACCAGCAGAGATGCATACCTCTTTTGTCTTTATTTATAAAGAAGTGACAACACTAGAAAACACACTGATAACCGGTGCTTTGAACAGTGAAGGTGGGATCTAAAAAAAGTCTGATTAAACTAAACAACCTTAGGTCTTTATCAAGTTGCATATCTGCCAGGAATGCTGAAATGCAAGAGTTCACACCTGCAATATTCCATAATGGAACAGCCACATGATATCAAATATAATCTCAGATTTCCAAACTGGTACATAAAAAAGCCATCACCAAGTATTAAAAGACCACTGCAAGTTCTTATTGCTTTTTGAGTTAAATAATAGTCTTCATATAAGCCTAAATCCAAACAATCTCTACGGTATCTTGCTTATCCTCC